ACACACACACACACACACACACACACACACACACACACATATATATATATATATATATATATATTATATAATATATATATGACTATGACTACACATACCGTTTCTTATCCCTTACAAGACTAACCCCTGGTCCCGGCGGTTTGAGTCTGTTGAATGTAATCATTGATCGCGTGCGTGCGAATGTGGAGCTGAGCGGGTCAGTCGCATTGTGATCATCGGTAGTAGCCCCTTCTCGCACTTCATCGCCATACTGGTTCGGTGGTTAAGTGTATATGTGTGAGGACTGATAATTGATATGGGAATGTCAATCATATATGCTCGTTTATGTGTGTGAGGGCCAGTGCGTGCGTATGGATGAATGTATGTATATATATATGTATGGATATATGCATGTATGCGTGTACTTATATGTGTGGCTGCCGAAGCAGTCATGTTTGCGTTCCGCATATCAAACGGAGCCAAACACGCACAACGAAATAACAAATAGCCTACAACATCACATAGACGAGCAGAATACACCTGAACGTCACGCCAACACACAACACGCACTGTCCACACACCATCCTCTGCTGACTGCTGCCCAGGTTGGGCGACGAGACTTGCATGGTGAGACCCCTTCGAAGACGTAACCTGGGCGGAATTAATGCGCCAGATTAGTGTTCAAATAGTGGGTCAAATTAATTTGTTGCGATGCAGACTGCAATTTAATGGGTTGAATTCGTTTATCGAAACCACCGGGTCAAATGCATGGGTCCAAATGATATATTGTAGTGCAGATTGCTAAATAGAACCATTAATGGGATGAGGTGCAAGCTGGGATTAATGGGCCAGACTAATTGGACGCAATGCAGACTCAGTGAAGTTATAGGGTGTGAAGACCAGACAACGGACAAAGTTTTAGGGTTTTAGGGTTTTAGGGTTTTGAAACTACGCGTAGGCATCGATTCTAACGATGTGGGAGATTGAGTGTGCTCGGGTGGCTAAGCAGTCTGAGCGCAGAGATGAGGGGGTGGGATGGAAAAATCATTCGACTAAGAAGCGTGTCATGGATTGGGTTTTGTTGAAGAATGCACATATATGAATACATGTATATTTGTGTGTGTATGCGTCAATGTGTATGTAAATACCTCCGTGCGTGCGTATGCGTGTATATGTGTGTGTACAAGCGTGTACACATAAGGTACATGAGTGACCACGAATACAGGTAGTACGTATTTGACACACTTTTCCTGGCTGTCCACCAAGAAAAAGCCTTCCAGCTCGACTTCTGGGTTGGTAGCCATGCCCTGGTCTCGTTGTTGCCACGACGACGAGTCCAGACTCTCTTCACTCCTACAGGGGAACAACGAAACAGCATTTACATACAACTTTATCAGTTCTACACAAACGCATCGAGACCTGACCAATGAATCAAACAATCGTTCCAGTATGTTTCACACACACACACACACACACACACACACACACACACACACACACACACACACACACGTCGTT